GGCTGAGCCCCCCATGCCTCATAACCTGCAAACACACACACGCGCACACACACAAACAAACACACACACACACGTCTGCGCGAAAACAGGGGGATGCGCCCTCCCCAGAGGAAGGCAGGCAGGTGAAAAACAAAACAGTTTCTCATTAATATGCAGCGACGGGCCGGGGCATCACTGCACTGTGTGAGTGTTGCGTCAGTGTGTGTGTGTGTGTGTGTGTGGGAGGCCTAAATACGTTTCGACACAACGGCACGCATACGGCGTCGCGCAGAGGCCTTGGAAGGACGCCCCACCCCCACCCCACGCCCACTTCCACCCCTTTCCCCTGCCCCCGCGTCGCGCGTCGTGCGTGCTGGAAACTCATTGACCTCCATGATGGGCGCCGTGTCGCGACGCTCTCTGCATGTCCGTGTGAGTGTGTGCGCGCGCGTGTGTGTGTAAATATATGCCTGTGTGTGTCTCCGACCTACCTGCTACCTACCATATGCAAATGTCGTTGCGCACCGTGGGGCCATTTCGCGCCGTCGTCACGCCGAGCGGGGAGGGGGAGGGGGAAAGTGAGGGGGGAGGGGGAAGGGCCCGTTTTGCTGCGTGTGGTCGTCCACGGCGCCCATGGGGATCCAAATACTGTTGTGTGAGCACAGAATGTGGCGGCAGGAATGAAAAAAAAAAAGAATTTAAAAATAAAAAGCGAAAAGATCAGCCACGGCGAAGCCAGCGCGCGAAAAGCGAACGGTGGCAAAAAAAGAAAGAGAGAGGGCGCTGGAATCGCTGCACTTCCGGGGCCGCACACGCCACGCCACGCCACGCCGCGCCACGCCACGCCGCGTCACTCTACACCACAGTTTGAAACAAAAAAGGCCGCGCCCAAAGTGAAAAGGGGAGAAAAGAAATGGCTCGTTTCCTTTCAAGACACGAAAGCCAGCAGTTTGGCAGCGGAAACGGCAACCGAAGCGGTCCTCGAAACCGAACGAAACGCCTTTTCGATAAGTCGCCCCGCCCCGCCCCGCCTCCCCCGCAAAGGACACTGAGCGACAGCGGGCCTATCTCAACAAATCAGGCGAAGATCAGTGGCGCGGACGGAGGGCTGCGGGGCTGTGTGGCACACAGTGTGTGGCACTGCGGGCGCGCGATACGTGCTCGCCAGTGTGCGCGCCACGCAGCGCCGTGGAGCCGAGCCGAGCCACGCACCGATTCGCGGACGGATCCACTGATTCACTCGCCACTGCACAATTCTTCATCCCCGCCGCGCCGCCGACCGGCCGTCTGACTGGCTGCATGATTAATGGCCAATAATACATGCAGAGGAAAACACTGCCGAATTTCACTGCCATTATAAATCTGCAGCATTGTTTACTACTGCCGCATGCGCGGGCCGCGGGCCGCGGGGGCGAGCGGACGGAAGGGCGGTGCGGGCAGGCGGACGGACCGATAGGGGCTGGAGGGGCTGGCCGGCCGCAAGCGGAGGTTCATTCTGCTAGGGCGGGCTGCGCCTCGCCTCGCCTGCGGCATGGGGCAGGCCGCGCAGGCCGAGGGGCAGGCCGAGGGGCAGGCCGGCCTCGAATATCACCACGCACGGGGCGGGGCGAGAAGCAAAGCGCAGTCAGCCTGAAAATTTCGTAATATGCTTCTTCAAACTGACACTGAATGGACCCGCATCAGCACGCTGCACTGCGTTGGTATACACAGTGTCTTTGCGCTGGTGCACTGTGGGTGCACTCCCCGCGCAGTGCCGTGGGGGCAGCAGCAAGCAGGGTGCAGCGACACGCCAGAAAACGCGCTCCAAAACGACGGAGCGGACGCTATTTCGGTCACCGCGAATGCATAAACCCAGGGCGACACGGCGGGCCGGGCCGGCCGGGCCAGCGGGATAAATCTCACGGCCTTCCTGGCCACATCGTGCGCCGCCGGCAGGCAGCCGGCAGCCCAGGGTAATCCTCGAAACGCCGTGGGGCGCCGGCCTGGCTGCCTGCCTGCCTGGCCGCCTGGCTGCCTCGGACGGCGCCACTTGGGCTGCACCCCGGCAAGCCAAGGCAAGCCACGGCAAGCCACGGCCAAGCCCGCCACCCGCCTGCCGGGGCTGCCGGGATCAACGGATTTGAGGTAACGCGTGCAGTCGCAGTCTCCCAGTGCAGCGCGCCGCCGCCGCCCTCGCTTGCCGCCCCGCCACTACAAAGTTGCTGAGCGTTGCCGGCGTCGCCGTCGGCCGGGGCGAGCGGCGCGGACGACTCGTCCATATTTCAGCTCAGCGCGCGCCGCCGCGGCTCAGCCTCACACTGCAAACAAACCCCCCCGACTCTCGAAACCGCCCCGGGTTCGATCCCCGGCGCCGCCGGCCGCGTTTCGGGTTCGGCTTGTCGGCGTGGTTAGCATGCAACCGCAGCCCATCCATATGCGTCCATTTGAAATTGGCCGCCACGCCGAAGCGGCCCGGGGCTAGAGTCCCCCGAGTCCCCGGGGCGGGGCAGCGCCATGGCAGCGCCCGCAGCACGGCCTTCAAGGCCGCGTCCGGCGGGGCGGGGCGGGGCGGGGCGGGTTCGATCCCAAGCTGTCGCCGAGCTGGCGGACGGATGCATACTGGATCGGGGCACCAGGCACCCGTCAGCAGGCTGTCGCCACCTGACACGCCGTGCATTGTTCAGTGACTGAATCAATTATCCAGCCGCGGGGCGGCGGCGGGGCGGGGCGGGGCGGGTACCTAAGTGACTCGCGGCTTGCCGTCGGCTTGCCGGGGAATGGCTCCATGAATGGGGCGGCGCCACGGAGTGCCACAGCCAGCACGGCGACGTCGCGCGTTAGTGCCGCGTATTGAATGGGGGCGCTTATCGCCGGCTTACACATGTTATTTCCACGTGAGCTAAGGCCGCCCCGCCGCGCCCCGCCCCGCCCCGCCCCGCCGCGTCGTTTAGGGGGCGTCGCGACGCGGCGCATTCAAATTACCGGCCCATCCACGCAGCGCGAACAGCGAGCTGCTCGACGGAAAGACCAAGTGGCAAGTCAGCGGCGCGGACAAAAGCATTCTCGAGTCGAGCGGCAGGAATTCGAATTCCACGCGACGCAGTGCCGCGCCGTGCCGTGCCGCGCCGTGCCGTGCCGCCGGGGACCCAACAGGACCACCGCGCCAAAATGACCAACACAATCATTGTTCCCGCGGCTTTCGTCGTGTTTCCCCATTATTTTTTATCCCTTTTTAAAAACGGCACGGATGCTCCACGGGTTTCTTCGAACCTCGCCGTGACTACACTACTCCGTCGCGCCGCCGCCGGAATCCGGCCAATTTTTACTTTTTTTCGTGTTTGAAACAAGAAAGGGCACTCGGAAAGAAGGAGGGAATAGGGAATAACACAATGCTAACCTTGGCGCCGGTTTTTCGGTGGGACCCGCGTCGCCCCCTTCCCTTCCCTTCACCTTCTTTCCGTCCGTCCCGACGAAAGCTCATTAGGCTCGGCCAGGCTCGGCCGGCCGGAGAAGATCAGAAATCTCGTATTGTTGCGCGGCGCGCTCGGCCGGCTAGCGCTATGGGGCCGGCACCGCAGCACCGCAGCCGCGGCGTGAAGACGAGACGGCGTCTTCGGGACGGGCGGACTGGCGGACGGACAGACAGACAGCAGGATGATCCAACCCACTGGCAGAGCGGGCAGAGCGCTGCGGCTGGCTGGCTCGACTGGCTGCGCCCGGTCTGTACTCTGATTCAGTGAGTCGTTTTCGTCGCTCTGTCTCTCTCGCGCCCGAACGGGACTCCCCCCCATGAGAGCGAGAGAGACAGAGCGACGAAAACGACTCCCGGGGCCAGACTCTTCTTCTGGCGTTCGCGTTGGCGGCCTTGCCCGCCGCCCGCACGCGCACCTCGCAGCACGTCACGCGTCACCTGGCCGTCCTGGCCGTGATGACAAACGGCACGGCGGCCCAATTACCCTCATTAAACCAGTATTTGAACCCGCGACCCTCGGCTGCCCTCGGCCGGGCCGCCAGCCTCAACGACCCACGTACAGCCCATTCCATTTCACTCCGCGATGGCCGACCGGCGATAGCGCGGCCGTGGCCAACCCGCTGGACCGCGTGAAGCTGAGACCGGCACACCTGAGCGCCGCGGGCCGGACGGGCGGACAGACAGACGGACGCACAGGACACAAACGCCAAAGCACGGCGCCATGGCGCGCCGCCAGCTGCATGTGCGACCGGCCGAACAGTGTCCAGCCGCTAATTAAAGAAAGAATCAAGGCGGCGGCGCCTCTGAGGACGCCGAGGACGGCCAGGCAAAGCCGCGCGGGCCTATATCGAGTTTCGCGGTGTGGGCGCGACGAGTCGGCAACGGGGCCGCCGGGCGGACGGACGGGCAGCACGCAGACGGACAGACAGACACGACGCAGATCCAGGCGGAACTGCAGGTGCGCGCTCCCCTGGTCGCTGCGGGACTTCCCCCCAGGACGGGCGGACAGACAGGCCGACGCACGCAGACAGACGCAGAGGGTGCGCGTCACGGTGTCGGCGAAGCGCTTGGAAAAATCTCTGAGCAGCACAACATGAAACTGCGCGTGACAAATGCAAAAACTTGCTCCGCCGGCACGCCGCGCCGCCGCCGCGCCCACAGCACTCGACTCGCGGCATCATTGACCCTGGAGGCGCGAGGCGGGACGCGGGGCGGCGGGGGCAAGAAGCACTCCCAGGCCGTCCGGGCCGCGGCGAGGACGCCGTCGAGTGCGACGCCGTAGAGGGGCTCGGACTGCACAGGGCTGCCTTGTCTTATCCTGGACCTGGACACCGCCGTCAGCCACTCCGACCGAGGCCAGTGGATGGGGCCTATCGGACACCGCGGACACCGTGGACACAGTGGTGCACACCGTCGTCGCGGTCCTCGCGGCGTTCTTCCGGGCGAGGCAAGGGTTCCGCCCCGCGGAGGCGCGTGCGGCGTAGACCCCGATTTGTGTGCCAAAGAAAAGCGGGCCGGGCAGCGCGGCCCGACAGAGACTCTGCTTATCTTATCACGAAGACCGACGCACCTTAAGTCAGCGCCGGCGTCGTTGGCTTCCGTTCCGATGCTCGGGACAGAGTTTGAGTTATCCGACAGAAGGCCAGTCTCGGGGAAGGACTAGGCGCACACAATCACAACACTGCACTCAATCACACACGTCCACGCAAACTCGGCCAAATTCGCTGATCGCCGATCAACTAACCGGCACGCACTGGCGCGCTGCTTCTGGCCGGCGTTGGTTTCGTATTTTTTGGCGCGGGTACACTGGCACGGCGAGGATGACGCCGGCAGGAGACTCCGCCCTCACACCCTCGCACTCGGACAGAGACTCTGAGGCAGTGCGACTTGGGCAGGACGTTGACGTGGGGCCGCGGGGCAGCGCGGGGCGTTGTCGGCACCACGTGTGTAAGACGCGCGCGGCGACGGCGGACGAGACGCGGGGCAGTACGGAGCACCACGAACAACCTTTCCGGCGGAGCGACGCACCGACACTGACGATGGTGGCGCTGCGGCGGCCGGTGGCGGCGACGGCGTTGTGGACCAGCGCGGCGAGCGCGGCCCGGCGTGGCGCGGAGTAGCGCAGCGCAGCGGCAGGCAGCGGAGTGGGGGTCACGTGACTGCCGAGCGCCGAGCAGTCGATTATTTCACTTCGCGCAGCTACGCCAGCCACGCAGCTCGGACGGCTGCTGGCGCGCTCTGTCGGGGCGCGGCCGAAGCTCGTCCAGCCGGCGTTGCGCGCCAAGGCTTGCGCCAAGGCGCCGGTCAGCCACCCCGGCAGCGCACTCTAACGGAGGAGGGAAGCGTTAGTGTTGTCGTATTTCTTGAACGTAAACGGCTTTGGGGGCCGAAGCGAAGCGGAAGCAGAGCTTTTGTCTCAAGTCAACGCAGGCTGCGGTGAATGCTCGCTGACGAAGCTGAAGCTGACTGCCGGGCGTCGAAGGCGGTTGGACGACGTCGTTGCCGCGTAAGACTCGCTACGGCCAATCAAATGTCCCCGTTCCCAATGCCCCGCCAAATGAAGCTTCCGGTTTTAGCGGCTACGTCACCCGCAGGCGACCGCCAGAGTGATTCTGGGGCGGAATGAGGGAATTTGAATGAAGTTGTTTCTTGTTTCCGTGATGGCCGCTGTTTCGTCCAACGTCTTCGTCCGGCCAGAGTATTGGTGCGTTGCCAGCACTGCCAGCGCCCTGTCAAGGACCAAGCTGAGAGGATTGCCCCCCGGTCCCCCGGACCCGGCCCTCCGACACGACGAATCGAAATAGTCTGCTTTCCGACAAAAGCCCTTTGAATATTTTTCAAATATTGTCTCCGGCGATGTGGCGTTCGGAGAGGATCTGTCGCGTTGTGATCTGCACCCTTCGTCCTAGGGCACGACTTCGGCCACAGAAGTCGACTTCGCGCAGAGGCAAAACTTGCGGGAATGAAAATAACTTGCTCACCTATTTGAAAATGCAAAATGGAGCAGCGAGCCCTCTAAGCGAAACAAAAACCTGCCGGATACGCAACAAGCATCAGCAGCAACCTCTCGGGGGTCATTTAATAGCTTTTCGCGACTTTGGACGTTTCGCCAGAGGGGTTGAGCTGAGCTACCCAGATTCCCTTGTTTCTTGGACAAGTTTGAGCTAATCCGGCGTCGGCGCCGGCCAGCGAGGGGAAAGGGGGGGGGGCACAAGGGCGCTCACCAAGGAATTCTGAGAACACAGACATCTGAGGCAGACGGCGGCGTGCAAGAACACCACCGCCACGAACGCCGCCAGCGCCGCCAGCAGACTGACTCCGAGAGTTGCTTTCATCGCTCCGTCTCTCTCGCACGCATAGGGAACGCCCAGTGAGTGCGAGAGAGGCAGAAGCGACTTTCGGAATCAGTCTCCAGCGCCGCCAGCTCGACGCTGCTCTGCTCACTGCTACCACCGCCAAACTGCCATGCTTACTTCTTCCGTTCCTTCGCTCTTTTACTTCTCCGCGCCCTTGCTGCCAGCCCTGCCTGCCCGCCTTCCTGGCGTGCCTGCCTGCCCGGCTGTCTGCCTGTCGGCGCTTTCGGAAAGCATTGCCGGAACGCCAGACCGCAAGTCAGGCGTGGACGAGACAGGGCATCCTACGGCCGAGGAGAGCCGAGAGGTGTTAGCCAAGTTTTGTCCGCAACAACAACAGCCAGCAGCTCGACCAACCCGTCGGCTTGCCGACGGCCGAGGGCTTGTCCAAAGCGCCCAAAGCCCGGCTGGGGCTGCTGCGCCTTGACCACAGCGCCGCACCCTCGGCCGCCCCGCCGCCCCGCCCCGCGCAGCGAGAAAGTCAGGTGATTGGCTCCAAACTCATTCCGCATATGTCCGCTCCATGCGCTGCGCCACGGGCCTCGGCCTGGCTCGGCCCGGCTCGGCCAGTGGGGGGCGCGGCGCGGGGCTGCGGGGCTGCGGGGCTGCGAGGCTCGCCACCAAATTAATTAAACAAGTCCGACTGTGATGAGGTGCAAACCGGAACCGGGGGCAGGGCCGGGCGTGCGCGTCGGCAGCGCCGCGACGGGCTGGGCTCGACGACCACGACGCCGAGGCCTCGCGCGGCTTTCTTTGAGTCGGCCGCCACTTCACGTGCAGGCACATCGCGCGGCTGTCGAATCGAAACGCGCCCGCCTCAGCAGAGTATAGCGAGCCGCGCAGTGTGGCCGACAGATTTTTCGGAACCGTCGTGTCGGCCAACTTCAGGGGACCCTCTCGCGCACCCATACGATACTGCCCCGTGAGTGCGAGAGAGAGGCTTCCCGCGGAGTCAGTCGGCTGGCGCGAGGCGCGGAACACTGTGCCGGCCCGGCAGGCCCGGCAGGCACAGCCTCCGCTTTGATCGCGGCATCGCGGAGTGAGTTGGCCTCGGGCAGCGCCGCCGTGCCAGTGTGCCGCCGTGCCAGTGTACCGCCAGTGCTGCAGTGAGCGGGCAGCGTTAGCGCCGCGGGGAGGCCGCGTGCCGCGTGCGGACTGTGGCGGATTGTGGCGGAGCACAAAGACATTGTTGCGGGGAGGATTTTCCGGGCGGCAGCACGCGCGGGGCACTCGCGTGTTGTTCAGGTCATTAAAAATCGGTTGCGAACTGCAGGCATACAGCGGCACACTGGCCCCAGGCCTTCAGTCCAATAGTCTGACCATGACAGACATCCCCCCCCCCGCTAATTCCAATCTCAACAACAACATCGACAACATGGTATTTGAAGAACCCGCACGAAATATAAAGGCCTAGTTTCATTACTTTCCAAACTACTTTCAGAGCATTATTTTACTCGGTTAGCGCACTGCACGCAGAAATTAACTTTTGACTGCTGTGCTTTCTTTTCCGAGTGCAGTGGCGGAGGTAAGGTCGGAGCGATATAAAATTCTCCGCGAGGCCCCGCCACGCCCTGGCGGTGCTCCGCATTCACAGCGGTCCGCACTTTTGCGCCGCGCCGCGCCCCGGCCGGCCACACCTTGTCCCGTTGTCCCCTTTGGCCGCCGCAGCCTCGCCTCGCCCTGGCCGAGCTGGCCATCTAAATTAATGAAATAGCCGTATTAAAAATGGCAAGGGTACCAACTGCCACGAGGCTCGTTCCGCGAGGTCCGCGTGTGGGGAGCATCGCTCTGTTCTCTCTATGTTTTTATTTAGTGCCCCGAAAATAACCGCACATGCTGTGCTCCTGGGGAGAGGGCGAATAATTGTTGCATCAAAAAAAAGCAGGAAAAACAGGCATTTCGGAAATCGATGAGCCCCTTCCTCGGTCCATCCAATAAGATGTATAGCACGCCGAGTAAAACCCCCGAGCTTAAGGGAAAATTGGGAGCGGAGAAGGCGGGGCGGGGCGGGGCGGGGCGGGGCGGGGCGGGGCGGGGCGGGGCGGGGCCACATCGGACGGATTCGCACCAGGTGTGTCGGACACCTCGCCAGCGCGCGGCGCAGCGCCAGCCGTGGCGGCCCCGGATTATTGGATGTTCGTTAAACGGACGGAGCTCCGCTAGCGGAATGGAGAACGGAGAGGAGAGGCCACCCGGGAAAATTATTGCGTCTTGAGGTAATCTCGAAGCGGGCGACGCGTTTACGATCGATTTATCTCCCCGGCGGGCCTGAAAACCGAATCGAGAAACAATTTTGACGAAATGTTAACGCTAACGACACACTCGCAAGCGCTTGGGTGTAGTTTTTGTCTGCGGAAAGAGAGCCACGGCCGCACGATAAAGATGCCCGTGCCCTTCAACTTCCGTGCCGCCCCGCGGCCCCTCGCGCCCGCAGTCCTCCTGATCGGCAGCGTGCTCGGCACGCGCGCGCGGCGTGCTGCCTACGCCGCCGACTGCGGGCGCTCCGACGCGCGCGGCTCGGACTGCAGCGCTGCCGCGTGCGGCTGGACAGCGCCGTCAGCTCACGTCCTCCAGGGGCGTTCCTCCAGGGGCGTACCTCCAGGGGCGTACCTCCAGGGGCGTTCCTCCAGGGGCGTACCTCCAGGGGTGCACCTTCATGGGCGCACCTCCAAACGGCCCTCAAGACGTCCACCTTGATTCCCGAGGCCACCCACCACCACCGCGACGGCCGACGACGACGGAAAAGAAGTCCCAGTCCCCAGGACGTCATCGCCTCTCGCCTCCTTCCACGGAATTAGAGCGAATTGCGCCACCGCGTGGAAACCTCAGGCTGAGTAATTATTCTCGGCCGGCGAAGAAAGGGAAAAAAGGGGAAGGGAGGAGAGAGAAATGAGCCGTGAGTAACGGGGGAAATGGACCTGACGACGAATGTAAATAAAGGAGATAAAAGCTCGGCGGGCGACAAGGTTGGGGAAGGGGGGCGGGAGGGACGCGCCTTCGCCTTGAGAGGATCAGAGTGATTGTGCCCCACCTGAGCTCTAAGTGGGATTTACCTGGGGCGCCGGAGAGGAATCTGTTTCGATAACGTATTAGTCCCGCCTGTCTCCCCCTCCTCCTCCCCCTCTCCCCCTTCCCTACTTCCGACCCACTTCCGGGCGATTCTTTCCCACCACTTCCTTGTCCGTGCGGGAATGGAGACCCATGTGCAGGATAAATGTCCCCAGAGACGTTTCGCGGCCAAAGCTTTCAATCGTGGCGGAGTGGGGAGTGGCGGGGAGTGGAGTGGCGTTGTGGGGAGAGGGCAAGGCAGAAGGAAGGGGTCGCGCTCCCCGATGCCGCCCCCGCGCTCGCCGCTCAAACAGCGCGCCGAACAGCGAACAGCGCGCCGCGCCCCCCAAGTGTCCCGACGAGAAATCCGCGCGGATGCAGCCAGCAGCGAGGCCGGATAGGGCCACTGTGAGCTGCGAGGGCACGGCAGATGTTTTAATGTCGCCGTCCCGTGTTATTTATCATTGTTTTGATGCAAAACTTTCCAAATTGCGTTCCGCGACGAGGCGGCAGAAACGTGTGACAACAACACGGGGCGAGCGGAACGCGGCGCGCGGGTGCCGGACTCGGAATTGCAAACCATAATGAGAAACGACATTGTATCAACATGTCGAAATTACG